CCTTGAAGATAATATTTCCTGATTTCCTGATTTTTATCTCTTAGATGATTTTGGTCATTTAAGATGTAATTAACTATAAGGGCTTGCCCTTATAGGAAGCATGTCCGAACCCAGCTTAATATAAACCCTATTTAATCCTTTATATTAAATAGGGGAATTTGTCTGTAAATACAAAGGTTTCGCAAACCAAACGGACGTCATATATTCCTTAGTTTATTTGATTGAGCCTCATCCCTCAAGTCTTGTGTTTTCCTTCAGGATAGATACAAGATTTGAGGTACAGTGCTCTTTCATTTTTAACTATGAAAAATATGGGGTCAGTTCGATTTCATAATTCAACGTCCTTCCGAAGCGGGCAACGGGATTTTGATTCCGGCGACCGACAGCTTCTTATGGGCAACGCTCCCCCAAACCAAACCCACAAAAATAGCGCCGACAATATTGTCAACCTAACATTCCCAATCTTTGTTCTGGGTGATCCAACATTATTGTTTCTTTAAAAATTGGTCTTGATCATAAAAATATGGTTTCAATCTGTGCCCATTTACTTTAAATATCTTTCCAGTTTTAGGATCTTCAATATTAACCACTCCACAAGGATTAACTTTTACAACTTTTATAACTTTGAATGACCCTTTCCACTTGGCCCTATCCACCTAGACTTCAGTTTTCTAGGAAATAATTTCAATCTTATATTGTATAATAAAACTTTCTATCCAGGTTCAAATTCATTTTTTTATTATCTTTTGATCATGTAATTCTTTCATTCTTTCCTTATAAATCCTAATATTATCGTAATATTCATTCCTAATTTCTTCAAGCTAATTCTATTGAAATAATCTTTTTTCACCATCGTCTTTCAAATTGAAATTGAATTCCTTAATAGCCTAATAAGCTTTATGCTCCAATTCTACTGGCAAGTGACAAGTCTTTCCAAATATTAATCTAGAAGGGGACATACCCATAGGTGTCATATAAGCTGTCTTATATGCCCATAATGCAATATCTAATCCACGAGACCAATCCATTTCACTAGGATTTACACCTTTTTCCAAAATTCTCTTAATTTCATGATTAAATACTTTTGCTAAACCACTTGTCTGGGATGATAACCTGTTGAACTTCCATGCATTATATTATATTTTTCTATTAATCTTGCAATTTTTACATTTCTAAAATGTGAATTCCCATTGTCAAGAAGAAACACAATCTCAGCAACAGGGCATAACAATTCATGTCCACACCCACAAGTCCAGCAATCATCTTTGCACTCTGAGATAAAGGATTTGAAGCTTGTCCCCCTGAGTTAGTAGCTGTAGGGAGGGCGAGAGAGTTGTGGACACTTCAGGATGATCAGCATGAGCACCTTGTATAGTTAGATAATTAGCAGGCCTATTAGCTTCCCTATACACAAAAGAGAAATGATTTTACTATATATATATATATATATAACTCTGTATATATCCCAGTGTATATATAAAATCAATCCCTACAATGAAGATAAGGAATGAATAAGGTGTCCCCATGTAGTAGGAGAGCTAAATGATTAGGAGGTATAGTCCCTACAACAATCTCTTCAGTTTCCTTCCCCCTGATTGCCAAACTGTGTGCTGGAGTGTTTCCTTCTCTAATTATGTGTTGGAAATGCACATGAACCTTACTCAACAGTCGTTTAATATTATTGTGCCACCAAACAAGGTTCTATGGAGCAGCTTCCACATTATTCAGAATTTTAATGCATCTACTGGAATCAGATTCTATTACCAATTTAGGGATGTTACATTGCTTGGAAAGGTATATAGCCCAGAAGATGGCTATCATTTCAGTTTCAAGTTCATCATTAGCCCAAGTAGGGGATGAGAAGTAGAAAATACACTTTCCTAGGGAGTTCCTAATAACTCCACCCACACCAGCAGCCTCCTTAGAGAAGTTTCCATCAATATTAGCCTTCAGCCATCCCTTAAGTGGGGGGGTCCAAAGGACCAAAGTAGGCTTGCTTACCTTCATATTGATCCCACTGGGCATCCAAATCTAGAAAATATTGGGATATTTCTGATGCATTATAATCTTTTGCATATAGTAAGTGCAATTTAAGACCACTACCTTTTCCATAGGTTTCATACTTTCATACTTAACTTGATTTCTACACATCCAAATGAACCATGCCACAACACAAGGAATGATTATCATCTTAGCTTCTAGCCACTCCTTCCAACAATCCAAAAAGTTTTGCCAACTGACATTCAAAGTATCAATGCTGAGCTGATTCAATAGAGCATACCAAACCTTTTGGGAGAAACTACAAAAGAAAAATAAATGTTCTCGACTTTCTTCATTCTTGATACACAGCCAACAACAAGAGGGACCCCTAAGCCCTTTCAATTTCAAAATATCATCACATGGTAGAAAGGAATTCCACAGCCTCCAACAAAAAAAGGACATAGAAGGGGTCAACTACTTCCCCCAAATAAATTTCCCCCACATAATAGGTTGCCAACGAAACAATTGCTGGAAAATGTAAGCTGAAAAATTCTGTGAGGGAGCCTGTTTAGTTATGAGTTTATATTTTTATCCAAGATTTATTTTAGTTTTCTTCACCCAATACATTTGCTCTTCAGTTACGATTGTTGCCAGCAAATTACAATTCCATTGATTTTTCAGTCCAGAATTCCTTCACTTTAGTTCCAGAGTTTGGATTGGAGGTGTCAATTCTTTTCCAATTCCAAATTCATTTATCTAGCCAGAAATTAATTTGTCCTTCTCAAATTTCCCAAATAAACAGATCCTCAGCTTTATGCCTCACCTCCGAAAGTTTAGTCCAAAGCCTGGAATCCCCAACTTTCTTCTTAGCCAAGTTAGGGTGAACAGTCCTGCAGTATTTCCCCTTCAAAAACAAAGCCCAAAGACTATCTTGGGCTCTAAACTTTATCTAGAGTTTACAAAGATTTATGACACTAAGGTGCTGAAAATCCTTAAAGCCTAAACCACCTGCATGTAGAGGCTTACACAATTTATGCCAAGCTAACCAATGAAACTGTTTCTTCTGACCAGCCCAAAGAAATTTATTAAACATTCTGCCAAGCCTTATCTGAGTTCCCTTCTTCATAGTAAACATCTGAAGAGCATAAGAAGGTATAGAAGTTAAGATGCTTTTCAAAAGAGTGATCCTACCTCCATTAGATAGGAAGTAATTTGTCCAGCATTGAAGTTGTTTCTGAATTTGATCAATTACCACATTGAATTGAGTTTGTATAGTTCTCCCTTTTCTCAATTGAACACTAAGATAATTGATATGTAAAGAGTTCAAGCTAAATCCAGTATGCTGTGCAATCCATTGCTTAATCTGTGGAAGAGTATGAGAGCTAGTAAAAATTTAACACTTTTGTTTGTTAAGATACATACCAGATGATCTTTGGAAGTGTTTCAGAATTTGATTGAGAGACTTTACTGCATTCTTGGTAGCCTTAGAGAAAATGATTATATCATCTGTAGAGGACAGATGAATCACACTAATATTGGATCTATGCTGATAGTCCAAATGTGGAGAAGATAGAAACTTTTGATTACGAAGCCTAGAAAGATAATCCATAGCTAAAATAAAGATAGTAGGGGACAAGGGATCTCCTTGTTTAATTCCCCTAGTGGCATTAAAGAAGCCTTGACTCTTGAAATTAATTAAAATAGAATGGTTGTTGCAAATGAGCCATATTCTAATCAAATTGGCAAAGTCTCCAGAAAACTCCCTAGACTTCAAGGTATCAAAAATTCCAGTTAATAGTATCTTAGGCTTTTTGAATATCCAATTTCATAATGAGATTGCTGCCTCTACATTTTCTATCCAAATATAGTAGCAGTTCCTGGGCCAAAAGGATGTTATCAGATATTTGCCTTCCTTTCATAAAAGCCACCTGATTCTTGCTTATCAGCTGCTGAAGATGAGGTTGGAGTCTGGTACTCATAATCTTGCTGATAACTTTAGAAATGACATTAGTTAGGCTGATTGGTCTAAAGTCTCCCCATCTCATCCTGCTGGAATTTTTAGGAATCAAGGTTATAGTGGAAACAGTAAAGTAATTAGGGGGGTCAATACCTCTAAAGAAGCTTTGCACAGCATCAACAAACTCCCCACAGATAATATTCCAAGTGGCTTTATTAAATTTTGTAGTGAAGCCATCTGGGCCAACAACCTTTTGGTCATCAAAGGAGTCCAAGGCAGCTTTAATTTCACCTTCCAAAGGAGTGTTATTTAGATTCAAATTGTGGACATAATCTTTGCAATCAGAGAATGTATCCATCTTAATTTGAGCTCTAGAGGGGGACTGCTCCTTAAAGATATTTTGAAAGTAATTTACAGCATCTTGGGCAATATACTCAGCATCAGTCAGCACCTGGCCAGCAGAGTCCTGAATAGATAAAATCATGTTGTTTTTCCTTCTGAAGTTAATGCAGGCATGGTAATACCTTGAGTTTCTATCTTCTTCCATAAATTTGGTAACAGCAGCTTTCTGTTTCAGAAAACATTCAGTGTAACTGGTATGGAGTAACAACTCTTCATTAGCTTTATGGAGGTCAACTTCAGAAATCAAACCCCTTTGATCACTTTATTTTGAGCCTGAATCAAGTTCTCATGTATGTTACCAATAGTGTCCCAATTCCACTGCCTCAGCTTAGATGCCACCTTCTTTAGGAGTTTCCACAGATTTATCCAGGGATTAGTATCACCTTCAGACCTCCAAACTTTACCTACTACATCCATAAATTGAGGGTGGAGGGTCCACATGTTCTGAAACCTGAAAGGAGCTCTCAATGGGCTTTCAGCATTTTGGATTGTGCACAGGAGGGACCTATGGTCAGATCCTGCCATGGCCAAATGAGAAATGACAGTGAAAGGGAATGCTTGAACCCATTTTGAGTTACCAAGAATTCTGTCAAGTCTTTCCCACATGGAACCCCTTCTCCAAGTAAAGTCAGGACCTTGATACCCCAAATCAAATAATTCAGCCTCAGCAAGGAAATCATTGAATCTATTCATGGCAGCAGCCATAGGTGGCCTACCACCTCTTCTTTCAGAAGGAGAAGATATACAGTTTAAATCACCCCCAAAATCCAAAAAGAGTTCAGAGACTGACCAATTTTAGTTAACTCAGTCCATAAGGTGGATTGATTAAATGCAAGACTGCTAGCATAAATGAAGGTTGCATAGCCAATATGAGCACCAATATGGAATTGGATGTGAACAAATTGAGAATGATTTAACAGCACAGACCACTAAAGTTCATCTCTAGCAAAAAGCCAAATTTTGTTATTTATATTGGAGAAATGATCAAATTGAGGGAAATTTTTTTGAATTTTATGGAAGTTTTTAGTAACCAAAGGTTCAAGAATGGCAAAACACCACACTTTATGAATTCTCACGAAATTTTTTAGTCTCTTTAGAGAGGAGGGGTGAGCAACACCCCTAATATTCCAAACAAGGAACTTAATCATTGAGAAAAGGTCCTCCCTCTCCCCCTAGTCCTAGGAAGGTGATCCACATTAGAAGTTCCCTCCATAGGCTGTTTATTTTCAACTTCACCTTTTTTCTTCTTATGGCTTCTTTGTACTTGCCAATCTTCTGTTAGAACATCTGCCAAGCTATTGATAGTATGATCTTCAACCCTAAAGGGGTTTAAGTTGAATAAGTTGTCATCTTGTATTATCTTTTCCTTTAAATTATTTTTATTGCATAGACCATCCTCTTGCTCCCCAGCATTACTACTTAGCACAATCTCAACTGTGTTATTTACCTCCACATAAGTAGTATCAACACCCCCAGTCAATTCAGCAGCTATCTCAACTAGCTTGGAATTAGTTATTCTAGTCCCTGGAGCTCTTTTCTTATTTGGAGGGTGTAGTCTATAACACTTCTCCACATTATGTCCAAACATTTTACAATGTTGGCAATAGACAGGATTTTGTTCCACAACTATCTTTTGCCAGAAACCTTCCCCAGTAGTTCCAATCCAAGCTCTATCAATATCAAACAAAGCCCTCTCAATCCTCTCAATCAGGACTCTAGCTCCAGCTGGTCTGGCCACATTATATGTGAGGGCATCAATTTTCAGGGGGCAACCAAGAACTCTACCAATGCTAAACAACACATTCTAATGGAATCATTGAATTGGTAAATTAGGGAACTTGAACCACATTGGAACTACAGGAGGTTCCTTTGTGGGATTAAACTCTGGAGTCCATGAGTCGAGTCCATTTCAGCAATTTCATTGGGACACCATTAATGATCAAAGTCTGCTTTGCAAACACCCTTGCATAATCTTCTTCATTAAATAAGGAAATCAGAATGTTCCTTCCATCAATTAAGCCTAGCCTCTAAGCTCCTGTAAGTTTCAAATCCATAAAGTACCTTCTTACAAAGTCCATCTTAGGATGGTCATACTAAAACTTACCCACCAGGGTAAACTTAACAGTTTCATTAAGTTCAAAGATTTCTTGGGGAGAAAAGAGGATGGCAGGTTCCCCTTCCTTCAAACCTTAAGGATTAACAAAGGGGCAAAACCCCCCTCCCAGCAGCAGCATCATGGAGACATTTTGGGAAGACCAAGTGGTCAAAGGATTTAGGCACTTTAACACCACTTCCAACAACATCAGCAAAGGTTGCCTTGGTCCATTGGGCATTGGTATTAGCATCAATGGGGAAGGCCATTGGGGAAACACAACTCAAAGAAACCCAGAACAGAAAAGGATGAAAACAGTAACAAGGCTCCAAAAGCAAGAAGGAGCACAAAACAAAAATAGCTACAGAAAGGATGAAAGGTCCAAAATAGCACCAAGTTCAAATCTCCAAATAGAAAGAGCAGAGAAAAGCAACAGCTTCAGCAAATCAATGTAACAGTAATCCTGTTCAACAAGGGTCGGTCTTCCCGGGCAAGACCACAACAAACTCCACCAACCTCAAGCACCCCTTGAAGAGAAAGCAATCTCCATCCACCACCCCCACCAGTACTCCAAGCAGCTCCATCACCTCCAAAACCCTAGCAGAGCACAACTAGGTTCAGCTGCCACCATCCTGTATATAAATATATATATATATATATATATATATATACAACCCAGTCCCATAAAATTCAATTCCCATGCATAAAAAATTTCAATTTTCAAATTAAAATTTAGAGGCATTTCATCTCTTTTTGAAATATTACCTACTCTCTGACACCGATCACATGTTTATATATATATATATATTAACATCTCTAAATAGAGTAGGCCAATAAAATTCATATTGTAAAATTTTACGAATAGTTGTATAATTCTTAAAATGTCCTCCAAATTCAGAATCATGACATTTCTGAATAATTTTTTGAATTTCTTTGTAAGACACACATCATCTCATTACTAAATCTTTGCATTATTTATATAAATAGGGGTCATCCCAAAAGTAAGACTTTGCATCCTGAATGAATTTCTTTTCCTGGTGTTTTGTTAATCCATATGGTAAAATAACACTAACAATATAATTTACAATATCAGCATACCAAGGTATTTTCCATCCATTTACAGTATAAAGTTGTTCACAGGAAAAGTTTTCTTAATTTCTTTTTCCATGTCAAGTATTTCTTCTTGGTCTAGCCTAGATAGATGATTAGTAATTTGATTATGAATCTCATTCCTATCGACTATTACAAAATCAAACTCTTGCATCAGAAGTCCTCATCTAATTAATCTTGGTTTCACATCCTTCTTTTGCATCAAATATTTAATAGCCAAATGGTCAGTATGCACAACACATTTAGCTCCAATTAGATATGACCTAAACTTATCAAAAGCATACACAATGGCTAATAAATCTCTTTCAGTGGTGGTGTAGTTAATCTTAGCATCATTAAGGGTCTTACTAGTATAGTATATAACTTTAAAAATCTTATCATATCTCTACCCTAATACAGCTCCTGTTACATAATCACTAGCATCACACATTAATTCAAAAGGTTTCTCCCAATCAGGTGAACAATTATAGGACCAGTGATCAAATTTTCTTTTAAAGTTTCAAAGGCTTTAAGGCAATCTTAATTAAAATCAAATTTTATATTTTTTTTCCAAAAGTTGGCATATAGGTTTAGTAATTTTTGAAAAATCTTTAATATATCACCTATAAAATTTAGAATGTCCTAAAAAACTCCTAACTCCTCTTACATTAGTAGGTAGAGCTAAGTTTGATATAACCTAAATTTTTATAGGATCTACTTCCATGTCATTTTCTGAAATTTTATCCCCAAGCACAATTCCTTCTGCAGTCATAAATTGACATTTCTCCCAGCTCAAGATGAGATTAGTCTTTCACATCGTTCAAGAACTCTCTCAAAATTATTTAGACATATTTTAAATGAAGTTCTAAACACAGAAGAATCATCCATAAAGACTTCAATCCCTTTTTCAATTAAATCAATAAAAAATTGACATCATAGATCTTTGAAATGTTGCAGGCTCATTACATAATCCAAAGGGCATTCAACGAAAAGCAAAAGTTCCATAAGGACTAGTAAATGTTGTTTTCTCCTGTTCCTCTGGAGTTATAGGTATTTGATGATAATGGGTATATCCATCTAGAAAATAAAAATATCTATGCCCAGCCAGCCTATCCAAGATCTGGTCCAAAAAGGGTAAAGGAAATGATCCTTCCTGGTGGCAGAATTTAATTTTCTATAGTCTATGCAGATTCTCCATCCAGTGACTTATCTTGTTGGTACTAATTCATTATTCTCATTTGACACCACAGTCACTCCTCCTTTCTTTGGAACAAAATGAATTGAACTTACCCAAGCACTGTCTGAAATAGGATATATTATTCCAGCATCTAAGCATTTTAAAAAAAATTTCTTAAAAATTTCTTTCATCATAGGATTTACTCTCCTTTAACGATAAGCTCTTGGTTCATGTTGATCTTCCAATAAAATTCTATGCATACAAATTGAAGGATGGTCACGACTTTCAAAATGCTCGGTTTCTAATTTAAATTTTATATCTTCCCTTTTGCTGTAGTTATGAATGCAAGCATAGGCATCACTCAAGCAATACATGGCTCTAGTGCAGTTCTGATTATCGATCCAACAGAGAATGCAATAGAACTTTAAAATGCAAAAAGTAGTGCAGAAAGCCAATATCCAATTCACAATGTGCGTACTAAAAATATTAAAGTCAATAATAAAATAAAGACGATTAAATATTCAAGTTCATTAAAGTACTAACTAAGCTTCTAAGAAAGATATTTAATGCCAAATAAAGCTTTTGTGTTGCAAATTTCAAATATGGAGAAGACGTCCTCCCCCTTACAATGATGTTGTGGTGAGTGAAAGATAAAGATTAGTAAGATATTGTGTTGCGCCAAATGAAAACATACCTATTTTTTACCCTCTTTCGAGTGCTGTAAAGAACATTGACTAATCATAAGTTTATCTTCTAAATCAATAGCTAGGCTAGGAGGATACTGACTGTCACCCCAGAGCTCCCACTTCCCTTGACCTGAAGGCTAGCTCTTGCTTTAGTTTACAAATACTAGTACCAAATTGGGGATTTTAGTCTGTCACTCTAAAATCTCCAATTCTACACCCAATAAAATATATTTCTCTATTTATTTACATTCAACCCCCATGAACTTTACCATCCATGAGATTTGAATGTGATCTTCACTATTATTGTAGAATATATAGCCCTTTCGAATCATATGATTCACTACAGATCTTAAAAATTCAATTGGCCAGATCGAAAAGTAAATGAAGCACTAAGTGTAAAATTATCACAACATTTCGACATGAATTTGACACAACCAATCTAAATCATCACATCACCACATCTCATTGCAAGGAGAAAGACAAGGAAATCTACTCAGAATGAGGAAGATATGACAAAATAAGGATTTTAGATTTCAAAACAATGTCATACAACCATAAGAAGTAAATACAACTTATCTCAAGTTCTTCCCTAAGAAGATCCCTTGAAGTTCCTTTAAATTATTTTCTTTCTTTACAACTCCAAACTCCACACAATTTAATT